GCTTTACTAGCAACTCATGGTCAAAGACCACCCACCTTCAAAACTGGTATCAGCATTAAACTCTTTTAGTGATCAACTATAAACTGCTGCAAGCATAGGAACACAAACTTGCTGCCACATTTCCTTGCATGAAATAAAAGCATTTAGACATTGTTATAAATACAATCCTCTGTTGCAAACAAACTCTTACCCTTTTCTTGAAGCTGGACCAAGAAAAGCTTTTTGTGCTCTTTTGGTTTTGTAATATGAGCTGGGATATAGGGATACTGGAAGAAAAACAAGAAAAATCGGTTGTACAGAGCTTTGAAAATATTGCGCCATCTTAAGTGCTGCTTTACAAATTATCAAGCACTGTGCGAGCTTTCAACGTGTCGTATATTGTTCTTTCATGGCATCAAATAATGAAAATCACTTTTGTAAGAAAGTACTCGGAAAGGAATGCTGTTGCTGTCACAACTATTGACAGGATCTAAAGAGGCACCACTACTCACGAGCAGTTAAAACAACCCAACAAGATAGAAATGCGTAACAGCAAACTCAGCAAGTATTTGCAGTATTAAACCATTTAGCAATAGGGCAGCCAGACTATTTTATTCACAGGGCATCTGTTCCATATGCAGCAGTGCAAGAGTTTCCGTTGTGGCTAAAACGGGAATTTAAAGTGTGTCTCTGGCTCAGCACAGGATTGGAAGCTATTACATCCAGTGGTTCCTCATCCACCAGGACGGGTGTGAGGAGAGAGAGGGGAGTTTCCAGAAGAAAAAGGTGGTAGTTTCTCATCAGCCACAGAAAAGAGGTGAAATAGGTAAAAACCAGAAAAACTTACTGCTCATGCGGCAGGTACTCAAAAAGCCCAACTGGTAGGTTGAAGGTTTTTGGAAGAACAATCGAAACTTGACTGAAGAAGATGAAAGTCAACGCGAGTACTCACCTGTGGAGGTTCAAAGTTCGGTCTCCACCAGTTACCAATGCAGTCATCAATCACCCAGTCTTGCTGAACACCATCCTGACGACCCAGTATCTACCAAAAATCCAGTCACAGTCAAAACTCTAACTACCCCAAGTCAATTTTTTTAGAAAACATACACTGGAAGCATGAAGACTTGCGGTAATAAGGGTCTGATGTAGTTCGGAACTGCTCTGGAACAGCTTTTAATAGAATTTTAGAGTATTTTTGTATAAAGTGACACTGTTTAGTAAAAGCCTCACCTGACAGGACAAGGACACTTTCAAGAGCATTTCAAATGCCATGCTGTATGCAGCTGAACTGAGTCCCGTCAGACCAATGGGAAGAACGAAATGCATTGTTACGCTACCTGACAGAATTAATGTTGGAGAGCAGGGAAGGTGAATTGGTGCATTGGGAAGACTATCTCAAAAACAAGTCCTCATCAGTTGTGCTCCGCAACGTATTTCATTGCCCATCTGCACACTCACTTGCCTGAAGCCAGCCAAAAAGCAAATGAACACAGGACGTGAGCAGCAGGTAGGGGGTCAGCCACTAGACCACTCTGTCGCCCTCTCATGATGCGGACAAATGAAAAGTTACTGCTTTGTTTGTTAACTACCCGAGAACAGCACAAAAGCATCGAAATAGCAGAAGCGATAAGGAGACTACTCTAATGCTTTGGCTTATTCTGTTAACTCTAAAATAATCCAACATTCCGGTATAGCAACGTAACGAAAGAAAACAGACCTCCGTCATTAAGCGTTTGAGCCCTTCTACCTCATCTTCTCCTGGATTGAGTTCACCACCAGGTCTGTTAAAATAATCAACGATGAAAGCTGAAGTTATGTTTTATTGTATTTACAGACTTTCACAGGTAAGTTTGGATGTGCTTCCAGGCAGGGAGTTACAAATTCACTCGAGGCCCTTAAGTCAGAAGTTCCAAATCTAACTCTGCCGAATTTGAAGACACTAGGATAGCTTCCACCAAAACCGTGACTAAAATGGCTACTGTATGTCCCTTAAAAAAACCCACCCATTATATAAAATACTTTAACTTCA